CTCTCTCTCTCTCTCTCTCTCTCTCTCTCTCTCTCTCTCTCTCTCTCCTGTCATTAGTTAACTTGTAATTCTTTGCCTAGGCTTGTTCCTCACCCCCGGGAGATTTTCCCTGCTGCATTAGCATGTCTGTTGGTGCTGTTGTTCAGACCTTAGCTTAGGCAGCCTTTCTAGGGGGCACAGTCTCACAGCAGACGTCCTAGTAGTCCTCTGGCTCTTACAGTCTTCCTGTGCCATCTTTCCAGGTGTTCTTTGAGCCTTACGTGAGGATTTGTGTTGTTCACATATCCACACCAGGGATTCCCCAACCATCTGTTAATCTCTGTATTCTGTCCTCTTGTGGTTTTCTGTGTTGGTTCCCATTTGCCGAAGTTTCTCTGATGAGGGTGGGACCTACTCTTCACTGTGAGTATGAGGATAATACTGAGAATGGAGTTAGGAATTATGCTGCTCTAGTAAAGTGAGGATAGTAGGCTCTCTAAGATCCGTAACCTCACTAACCTAGCGAAACTGGATGATTTTTAATACCAGGAGTGCTTTCTCTTCTGCTAAATGGGCCTTAAGTCCAGTTAGACAATCGTTGGTTAGCTCCAACATGAATGCCATTATTGCCATGCTGATGATTCTTGTGGTTCTTAGATGTCATGAGGAACTACATTTTTTTAAAAGGACTATAGAAAGTGTTGTGAGAATGTAGAAAAATTGGAACCTTTGTGCATTGCTAGTGGAAATGTAAAATTGCACAACCATTATGGAAGCAATTTGACAGACTCAAAATAGTTAAGCATAGAATTATCATTTGACCTAGAAATTCCTCTCTACAGGGAACTGGAGCATAATGACTGCTTATTAGTTAAGAATACTGACTACACTTCCAGAGGACCCAGGTTCTATTCCCAGCACCCACATGCTGACTCACAACCCTCTGTAATTCCAGTCCCAGGGGATTTGATGCCCTCCTCCCTCTGACCTCTAGATACTGAGCATGTATGTGGTATACAGATATACATGCAGAAAAAAGCCACCTGTATATGTAAAATAATAAATTATTAAAACTTTTAATCTATACACAAATGTTCATAGTTTTATTCATAGTAGCCTAAAAGTTGAAAAAACCTGGATATCCAGCAATTGAGAAATGGATAAAGAAAATGTTATATATCCATTTAGTGAATATACAATATTTGGAATATATTCGGCTGTACAAAAGAATGAATTATTGTTATATTCTACAACATGGATGAACCTCAAGAATAATTTCTTATGTGAAAGAAGTTGCACATTGAGACCTTGTGTTGTATGATTACATTTATTTGTTTATTTTTATGATTATTATGGTTAAACGAGGGTGTTGAACATGTTAGATTAGTTCTCTACCACTGACCTATCCCCAGCCCTTACCATTTCATCTATATAAAATGCTACAAAGAGGCAAATCCATTCAAACAGGCCAATTATTTGCTAGGAGATGGAGAGGTGGGAAGTTGATGTTAGCTTTTAATAGGTTCACTGTTTTTGTCAGGTTAAAAATTGACAAAATTGTACCAGTTCTACCACATAGTAAATGACCTAGTATATACTTGGAAATGTTAGATTTTGTTTTATGTGAATTATTTAAATATAATGTTTTAAGTACTTGATCCCCAGAACCTACATAGTGGAGAAAGAGAACAGACTCCTGCAAGTTGTCCTCTAACCTGTACATCTGTGCTGTGACACCTGGGTATAACTTCATAAAATAAATATGTTTTAAAATTTCAAGATTATAAAGATTTTGGGGGTCCCTCAAAAAGCTGGTTATCCTTAAAAACCAGTAGAGAATTGAATCTCTGCTGTGGCTTTTAGAAAATCCTAAAAGGAAGGTTCGGGTTGTGTTTTTTATAACTGCACAGGAAGAGTCATAATCATTAAGGAGCTCTCTGCTCAGTGCCAAGGAGTGTATTAGAGGGATGTTAGGCAAACTGAGATGATAAAACCAAATTCCCTCCTCGGAGAAAATCGTGTGTAGTTCAGAAGCAGCAGGGAAGCGAGGAGACTAATAGGTAGTGGGGCTGAGCCTGAAGAGATGCGAGCTTTCTTTTTTTTAATGTACAATCCAACAGGAGCTCTCCCTAGATTTTGTTCTAAAATAAGAGCGTTTTCACACATTTTAATTGCTCTGTGATAGCAACAGTGTGAACTCCATCCACAAACATTTATTATCTATTTAGTTTTGTTCTAATTCAGTGTAGCAAGAATTCACCTTATAAGTAGAAGTAACGATCCATTTAGTAAAAAGAAATCCTTCCCACATTACTAATCTTGTTGTTCATTTCTATGCTAAAGTATTAATAATGCTCTTTCTCCATCTTTGGACGATATTTACAGGTTCCTATTCCCAAAGCAGTATTTTTATGAACTGAACTATGACTTAGGAACTGGAATATTAGTAAAGAACATTTTACTTAACAGTGTAGATTTCATATTTTTTGTCATGATTTCAGGTAAAACTTTTGTTTTTATAAACCTTGATATCACCTAGTGTTATGTTTATAGTACTCTTTAGGAAACACTTAAAAAGTGTGTGTAACTTTAATAACTATCTAAGTTGTTCTGATATTTTCCAGAGTTGGCATTCATCCCATCCTTTATAGTGATGATACAGGACAAAGAGGAATGGATAAAAACATTGGTGAGCAACTCAACAGAGCATATGAAGCCTTCCGACAAGCGTGCATGGACAGAGACTCGGCAATAAGAGAGCTACAGCAGAAGGTGTGTGCTTTGGATTTGAAAGCTGATTATATTTCTGGGCAATTGAGGTTAAGAATTGAGAATATTTTATTGCTAGAAAATATTTGGAGAACTATAATTATTAAAACACAAGAGTGTAATAATAAATAATAACATTGACATTTTTGTTACCTTTTAAAAACATTTTGTGTCCTATGGAAAAGGTTGATTTGATGGATTCAATTTAGAGTGATTATGATTAAGATAGAACATTGTTTCTCCATATGTAGCTTTTAAGTGTCACTATTTTATATAAGAAATAAATATAAAGTCAACTAGCAGGTATAGACCCAGCAGAAATTATAGTGCCTTTTACTACTGAGGAAATAAGAAAGTTATGGGAAGATAATGAACCATGGCAAAGAGCTTGTGCTAATTTTTTGGGGGAAATTAACAGCAACTATCCCAAAAGTGATAGACTTAACCTCATAAAGAGAACTTCTTGGATTCTTCCTAGAATTGTATGTGATGCTCCAATAACTGGAGCCCGGACATTTTATACCGATGCAAATAAAACAGGGAAAGCAGGTTATAAATCGGAAGAACTGAGTAAGGTGGAACAAAGCCCTTATAATTCTGTCCAGAAGGCAGAATTATATGCCATTCTTATGGTGCTAAGGGATTTTAAAGAACCTCTTAATATAGTTACAGATTCACAATATGCAGAAAGAGTTATCTTGCATATTGAAACCGCTGAATTCATACCAGATGACACAGAGTTGACTTCATTGTTTATCCAGGTACAGGACATAATTAGGAATAGGCTTTGTCCAATGTACATAACACACATCCGATCCCATACTGGTCTGCCTGGCCCTCTAGCACAGGGTAACACTGAAATTGACCAATTATTGATTGGAAGCGTTCTGCAGGCCTCAGAATTTCATAAAAAATATCACATCAATAGTAAAGGCTTAAAGAAAGAGTTTTCCATTACATGGCAACAAGCTAAGGACATTATAAAGAGATGTCCTACTTGTTCTTTCTATAATCAAACACCGTTGCCTGCAGGGAGTAACCCAAAGGGTACTCAAAGGAATGAAATCTGGCAGATGGATATGTTCCACTTTATGGAATTTGGTAAATTTACTCCAGTCAGGATTTGATGATAATTTTCTTAGGTCCCCATAAGATTATCAGCGCCCCCAACCAGCAAGAAGTAGCCTGAAATACTACGCCCACATTCCCAACAAATGGACTATGGGTATTTTCCTTTGTTTTTAAAAAAAAAAAAAAGGAAAATGATGTGGGAGAATTGTCTGTATTCTGTCAATCATATTTTAATAAAACGCTGATTGGCCAGGCAGGCAGTATAGGTGGGAAAGCCAGACAGGAAGTAGAGGTGGAGCAAAGAGACTTGGGAATATTCTGGGAAGCAAGAAGCTCCCTCTGCCATTCCTGCCCAGACCACCGAAGAGGCAACATGTGAGCTGACAGCTGAAAAAGGTACCAAGCCATATGGCTAACATAGATCAGAATAATGGGTTAATATAAGTTACAAGGGCTAATAAGAAGCCTGACCTAGTGGGCCAATCAGTTTATAATCTTATAGAGTCCTGTGTGTGATTTTTCCTTGGGGTATGCCGGCTGTGGGGTACCGGGTGGGACAGAAATCCCAACAAGCCAGCCCTTCATGCTACATAAAGTCGTTTTATAACTGAAAGACTTATCACTGCTTCTCAGTTTTGCATTGTTTCTTTCCATTTTTTTATATTGTCATTTGGGTACCAGGAACTAATATATCCTGGAACTAAATTTGTTATTAATTTATCATCTTCCATTCTTTATGACAGTTAAAATAGAACACAAGATGATAAATTATTACAGTGATGTGGCATAAGTTCATAATCAGGACTCATGAAAAAGACATGTGAAGAGGTCTAGAGGAGTCTGTTCCCTCTTCCTGTGGACTTCCCCCAGCTTCACAAGTTCTGTCACATGTGTGCAAGTGTAAGAATCCACTTTAAAATTCACAGTCATTGGGTTTTGCTGTTATTTTTGAGTTCAGAGCTGGCTTCACAGATACACCGTATCTACCAAAGGTCCAAACGCGGGAAAGTAGATCCTCCATAGACGTTATTACACTGTCTAAATAGGCTGACTCAGCAGTCGCAGTCTTACCACATAAGAATGTTTTAAAAGTCAGTTTCCCAAATATGAAAGGACCAATTTTGCAATTAGACCTTTATGAAAATAACAGCCAGAAGATTTACTAGGAGGAATGTTAACGTATTTCTCCACGGGCAGTTGGAGGTAGGGGAACTTACATTGATTCCTCTGGTTCAAAATGTCCTTGAGGAGCTAGTGGTTTAAAGTAGCTGCCACAAAAGCATGAGGGTCAGATTTGATTCCCAGCATCCAGGTAGATGTTGGGTGGGCATAGTGATCTGCCTGTAATTCCAACTCTTGAAAGCCAGATAGTCATTCTAACACATTGGCAAGCTCTCAGGTTCACTTGACAGACCCTGCCTCATGAATAAGGTAGAAAGTGATTGAAGAAACTCAGAATCTATCTCAGGCCTGCCCATGTGCCCACAAACATGAACATACAAGCACACATATAGATATATATGAAGAAAAACATTATTCATGAAATTTTGAAGTCAAAAGACATAGGCTATCCATGAAGTTCTTTGTTCATTCAATAAATATAGTATGTCCATCTATACAATTTCTTCCTTTCTAGGATCCAGCTATTGTTAAACATTTCTATATATACCTTCCTGAATTCTACAAAAGCCATCTTTATTCTTTGTGAATCTTCTCTTGGTTTGTAAAAGAATAGTGTTATTGAGTGAACTAGATTCTAAATCTTCTCATTTTGAGTAGCTAGAAGGAAGAGGGCATGATATGACAGGGCCTTCAAAAAATTATTTAAAGTAGGAAAAAAGTAAAAAAAAAACTCCTTTTTTTTCTCCCTACTTTACATAGGTTCATTGAGGGACTTCACAGTTCTGCTTGTGTTCTAGGGTAACTTGGAATTAGGGAAGAAGATGATGAAGTTTTGAGTATACTAAAATAAGTAAAACATTATTTATGCATTTCGGAACTTTCAGAAGTTCAAATAGGTAATAAATAAAATGGTTATTGCATATATAATTTAAAAAGCAGAAAAGAGGCTCACTGGCTGTTATCTGACTGTTATCAGACATGACAGAAAAGATCAGGTAGTGTGTGGCCTAGGGAAGAGGTATCTAATTCTTCCTTTGTGAGTCAGGTCAGCACAATATGAGTTCACATTTGGGCTAAGATTAGGAAGAACATAGTAAACTAGGAGACAGGGATCACACACGTGTGTGCGCATATATCTGTAAAACAAGAAGTGAGGGCGTGTTTGCTACCTTGTGTTTCTTACAAAGTGGTCCTATGACTTCATTAAAAATGATGAGGAATTATGGGAAAAGAAGCTGTAAAGATAATAGCCCCATCATGAGGAATATGACTAAGTGTGTATCTTCAAAAGTTACTGAAGAATTAATATGCTTTAGAAAGCTCTTGACACTGACAAAGAACCCAGCAAACATACTGAAGACATGTTACAATATATACAAATTATATTAAAAATGGCAATCATCTAGTCATACATTTATGTGCATTAATGTAAAATTCATATATTAATAACTGTGTAATATATTAAACCTTTACTAATATATATTGGATAGTAAGTATATGTAGGTTTATTGCACCTTGGTTGAGAAAAATAAAAACCTGAATATCAATAATTTTAAGAATTTAAAACAAGGCACTGAATTAGCAGTTATGTGTGAATGTAAAAAAAGACCTAATTTCTTTTTTCCAGACAGTGTTTCTCTGCATAGCCCTGACTGTCCTGGAACTCACTCTGTAGACCAGGCTGGGCTCAAACTCACAAAGATCCTCCTGCCTCTGCCTCCCAACTGCTGGGATTAAAGGTGTGCACCACCACCACCCAGTAACCTAAAATTTCTTTAGGAGATAAAATGGCAGGAAGGTGGCACCTGAGTGTAGGTCACTTATGAAGATGATGAAAGTAGACTCTAGAATGTTTAGTTTAATGCTGATGACTGAAATCAAGAGTGATGAAGAACTTAGAGTTTGGTTATGGGGAAATAATATATCTAATGCAGTTCTGATTCTTAGGTTTAGACCTGTGGGAACATATGGGTGAACTATCTAATGGGTAGGTATGAACACTGTTCTTTAGGCCTACAAGGAGTTCTGTATGGAGACTGTGATGGTTTGAATAAGAGTGGTCCCCACAAGCTCATATATTTGGCTGTTTAGTCACCATGGAGTGACAGTATATGAAAAGATTAGAAGGATAAAGGGGGTGGCCTTGTTGGAGAAAGTGTGTGGGGGGGACTTTGAGGTCTCAAAAGCCCATGCTAAGCTCAGAGTCAGTCCCTCCCTCTCTCTCTCTCTCTCTCTCTCTCTCTCTCTCTCTCTCTCCCTCTCTCCCTATGGGTCAGAATATAGTTCTCAGCTACTGTTCCAGTACTCTGACTGCATGTTGCATGCTTCTTGTGGTGATGATAGTGGATTAAACCTCTAAAACTAGGCAAGCCCCCAGTTAAATGCTTTCTCTTTTAATGGTTGCCTTGGTTATGGTGTCTCTTCTTGGTAATATAATACAACAGTGATTAAGACAGAGACTAGAGCTAAAACAAGATTGTGTAGTTTTAAATGGTATTTCTCAATTAGAATGTGTAGAAGCGTGAATAAATATTTAAAAAACGAAAGTAGGTTAGGGTGAAAGGAAGAGAAAGACTTGCAATTTAGAATATAGTTTAAGCAGTTTGAAAGACACAGAGACCCAGAGAACACTGGGATTTTAAAGAAGAAACATAAAAGGGGGCCCTTTAAAGAGACTTAACAACAACACAAATAGTCTACAAAGCAAGGAACCAATTAGAGAAGAAAACATAACAGAAGCCACAGGAAAGGGGTCTCAGGAAGGGTACAGTAGTTAGCACAACTAGATAGCCAAGTGACTTGATGAGAGG